CTGTGACCTTCGCTTTACGAGAGCGACGCTCTACCACTGAGCTAAACAGGCACATTGATCAAAAGCCAAAAAAATCTTGTCACTACTTATACTCATATTCTATGTATTTACAAATTAATTTATTCGTTTTTCAATATTATTTAGTAAGTATATCTATAAAGCTCAACACATTAAGAAAAAAATTTGAGAGAAAAGAAAAAAAATGACTACTACCCGCTATATGACCTTCTGTTTCGTAGACGTATATATACTCAACTACTCAAACAGAACGAGTAAAAGTTCGTCTGTCTATTCAAAACAGTTGTCGATAGTGTACAGTTGTGACATATCTTCAATAGACATGAAAATCATTCTAGTTCTTATTGTTATATGTCTCATTATCTTAGGTAAGATAATACTATATAAGTCAGTTTTATAAATTAATATTATTCTAGTTACTGAATCTGCTCGTCATCGTCGACAGTATGCCGGAAACGGCTATGCTCAACAATATGGGTCAGATTATGGACTTTATGGTCCAGGTGGTCAGGGTTGGGTTACTAATAATAATAATAATAATATGAATAATCGTTATCCCAATCCTCAAGGTTTTGGTGGAAATGGTAATTTTAATTGGAATCAAGGTAATAGACGTCCTGAATGGTACTATAATACATCGAATACTATTCAATCTTCGATTTTCTGTTTTTTATCTACTATAATTTATATTCTTGTTATTTAAAAATAAATAAGAAATTAAAAATAGACATGTGAAAGTTGTTGTTAAGAAATGAACATTGTATTTAATTTAACACGTTGAATATTATCAATCTATTTACTTATCGATACTAATTTTCAATTATAGCATGAACAGTTATTTGTTCAATTGTCGCTCGTTTTCGATTCTTTTTACTAATTGCTTTCATTTCGTGCAACGTCTCTATTTCGTTCAATAATACTCTATAGATTGTTTGTTTTTATCCTAACAAAAGAGAATGATGTATTTAATATTGAATATTCTTCGGACGTGAGAACTTTATAATATTTAGGATTAATTCTATACACATATATAACAAACACGATTTTATTTGCTCCATCACTTATCATGTATATGATTATTGTTTGTACGAAAACATATTTTTTAAAGTTTGCCAACTAATACAATACGCATGAATAGAAGGTGAAGTGTCCATTAGAATAGAATGAGTAAAATGTAATGAATAATCGGAAGAATAGAAAAAAATGACTATCTCAAAGGGAAAAATTTCTGTTATAAGATTGATAGAATTTTTGAAGTATATTATCAGAATAGTTAAAATCATCATCAAATATTTAAAAAACAAACCGACGGGTATTCATTTTTATCGTTTATTATTTTTTTATTTTGAATTGAAATTAAAATCGAATCAAATTTAGCGAACTTCAATAACTAACTTTTATTTCGCTTCATATTTTTCAATATACATGTCTTATCACCTTTTTAAATCATCGATCAAGTAATACCTACGGAAGACACGATTTATCATACATATACGAATATTCGTCTCAAAAACATTTATTAAATCATGAACATGATTTCAGTCAAACATTAGCAATCATTGATGAATATTGAGGAAAATCAAAATAAAGTTATTTTTATATTAGATCGAATACTGTATCGTTGACTTTTATTACATCAAAGTTTGATTATCTTCCTTTTTCTATCAAATAATTCGCTAGTGGTTAATTGATCAATTTAATACACTTGCACACATTATACTCTTGAGCTTATTTTGTTTTCTTTGAACGATTTATTCAACACGCAAGTATAAAATCTGGATGAGTTATTTGTTGTAAAACAGGTGTTCTACTAGGGACTATTTATGAAAATAAATCATTGTTAGTGAAAACATCTAGATGAGTTATTCAAATACGTATCTGTAGAAGTAAAAATAAGTTTATGTATGAAATCATATTTCTGATAAAAGTGCGTAATTTATTATATACCAAGTACCAACTTTGATAGCCTATTTTAAAATCATATTATGGAAAATCAATCATTTCCTTGCTTTCAGATGCAATCGGTGAAAAGAGCAACATTGCTTCGGTTGAACTTTATCAATCAGAGCGTTTTTAATGCAAAAAATAATCACTAAAATAGTATTCGTAATATCATTGCACAACTAATCATCACAAACCTTCAGTCAGTAATAAACTATTTTCTTATTAACATCATCTAATGAATGTTCATAATTTAATAAACAAAAAAAAATAATACAATTCGTCGTTTAATTTTTTTTGAGAAAAACTGCATCACACTTCATGCCATTAGTAATAAATTGTGAGAAAAAAAAGAAATTTTGCATTATATAAAAAAAACAATATACTAGAAATATACTGAATTCATCAATTCGCAGACAGGAGTCGATTAAACTCAGTAAAACAAATATCAAGATCCATTTGAAATTGACGTGCTTGATCTTCAGTAATTTCTTCAGCTGCATTCATATTTGTTAATATATTTAACCTAAAAAAAAGACAATATTCATAAAATAATTAAAATCTATATTGTATTTTACCAATATGGAATCTTTTCTCGACCAATATAATTCGATGGTATTAAATTCATTCTATTAATAACATCCAATAATTCACGAACATCAGTTTGGAGCTAGAAAAAATACTTTCAAATTTTTGTTTATATTATATTGTATTATACATACCATATCATTAGCTCGAATATTCAATCTCAGTTTATCCATAAGATTAATTATAAGCTATTTATTAAGAAGAAATTATAAGGAAGAAATTTTATAATTTAAATTTTTTTACCGCAACTGTTTCAGCAATAGCTTTGCCCATATTACCACGATCATCACGAATAGTTATAGGACGACCTTCACGAATACGTAATAAAGCTGCTGGACAATCAAGCTATAATATATATGAATATGAATATATAATGTACGATGTAAATAATTTTACTTTATATTTATGAGCAAACTCTTCAATTTGATTGAAATCACCTTCGATTTGACGAAATGCAGCTGAAAATTTAGCTAATAATTTTTCACAATGTTTTGTATATCTAAATAAGATTATTATTTAACAATTTCCATACACAAAAAAATACGATTGTATTATACTCGGCTGATTCGACAACATCTCTTATATAAGCTTTTTCAAGTGCTTGTAATGTTGTTATGATCGAAAAAACATCAGCCATATTATCATATCTATATTAAAATATCTCAATAAAGAAATAGTTAATTATTTCTTAAATTTTACCTTTCACGTTCACGTGGATTTTTCCAAAGACGAACTTCCTATTGCCAAAAGTTTGTTAAATATTAAACAGATAAATTGTTTCAGTTACTTACTTGATACATATCGGCTCCACCATGGTCTAAAATATGAAGAAATTTCAGGTTATGAACAGAAATGTTTTTTAGACTTACTTGACATAACTTATGGAAAACTGGATTGTTGAATAATATGAGATCTACAATAAGAATAATTTTCATTTTTAATGAGTACAAAGAGAAAAAGAATGAGTTTTATATTATCGAGTTTGTTTATAACAAATATACAGAAGAAGAAAAAAAAATCTGACTACAAATAAAATGACGATTAATTGAGTGTTTCGCCCTTGCTCACCTATAAGAGAAAAATTAAAAAATAACAAACAAAAAAACGCAGATCCTTTTTCTTTACCCTAGCTTCAAGATAATCAACGTGTCGTTCAAGTGCTGTTAATTTCTCATTTAATATCGATAATCGATATCGGCATGAAGATTCTTAAATATATCAAAATAATCAATAATTAATAAAATTCAATCTAGTTAATTACTTACCAAATTGATTGAGGAAATCAACAAGACGTTTGATAGCTGTTGTTAATAATTGAATATCATCACGACGTTGCCAATCATCTTGAATATTGCGTCGAACCTCACTTGTTTCACCATTACTACCATTTTCACTTGGTGGCGATCGTAAACTACCCATGCCATAATGAGACATTATTTCAACAATTTTCTTCGATGTATGAATGATTCAGATCATCACATGTAAACTCTTATGGAAAACAAACAACAAAATGCGAATATTTTGATAGGTGATAGATGTCACTATGATATTTTTCAATTGGATATAGACAAGAAACCAATCACAGGATCCTATTAACGCCTATATTATTACAATTATCAAAAGCGGATTTCAGTTTTTTTCAAGGAAAACATATCAATAATATATATAATCATCCTGGATCGACTCATCTTACTGTCCATTATTTTATTTGCTGCAGCCGGTCTACTTGTTCTCATTAGTATATCAAGACCACGATGGATTTTATCCGTCAATCCAGGTAAAAACATATATATTTTCGGAATGTTTATCATGTCATTCATTTGAAGTTTCTCTTCGTAAAAGAGTATCGATTCATCTATGAGACAATATATCCACTGAAAAAATAATCTAATCATCTATTTTGTTTTTGTGAAATATGATATTCTGATAAAATATATTTGAGAGGATTATTATCAATTAAAAAACTGATTTCTATATAAAAGTTCAGATTGAAAATGTGGTATAAATAAAACTTTTGTTTTTTTATAAATCTTAGGTGAGACATCTCTTGGTCTTATTGAGATGTGTATAACATCATCATCATCGTCAAATATCTATGAACAGAAATGTTTTATTCCACATCATGTTCGTTCAGTATGGATAATCTCATTTGGTTTAGCTATTGGTGCTCTTGGTCTTCTTACATTAACTATTCTTCTACTTCTTGCTTCACAACACACGGAGGCAGCTACTGTTGAATATGGTCGACTTACTGGATTTGTTGCTAGTATGTATTTATTTAAATTTTCAGATAAAAAAAACATACATAATGATTTTTTTATTATTATTTATATAGTGATATTTTTATGTCTTTCAACTGTTCTTTTTCCAATGGGTTTCGATTCTGAAATTATTGGAGGTTCACCATTTCAATTACCAGCTGATTTTCGTATAGGATCAAGTTATGTTGCATTCGTTGGTGGAACTTGGCTAAGCGTTCTTTCAGCATTAGTTGCAGGAAAAATGTGTTTACCACGATTTGTTACCTGAATAATATTTTATATCTTCTATATGTACATAATAGATTTTCGTTTCTTTTTTAGTTTTATTTTATTTTTTGTTTTATACTTCATGATATTTTAGTAGATGCACTATATTTGAGATGATATTTAAAGATAGTAGCACCACTTCACTGGATACATTTGCTTTATGTAACTAAGTCAATTTATCTTTTTCTATTGATTTATGTGTATTCTAAGTTACGGTTTTTATTTGTTGTTGTTTATTTATCATAGAAACAAAGAAATTATTTAGTTTTTTTCAGTATTTTTTGCTGTATTAATCAAAATTTAGCATTCATAGATCTTACGACTATCTGTATCATAAGGAGTTTAATTCAAGAATAAAATAATTCCAGTAGATCACCGTTTATTTTATTATATATCTTAGCATTCGAAACAATATAAAAGAGTTAATTTATATTATCAAACAAGAGAACACTCAACATGTTACCATTCTAAGAATTCAAACGGATTATTTCTAAAAATCGATAATTTAGTGTGCAATGTTTTCATCTACTAAGAAGACCAATATAGACTTTTCGACAACAAACAAATTAAGAAATAAATATTTTACATTTATTTTATTTATATTCGTTATGAACAAGGTTATTGTTTTTTAATTATTGTGTGGTTGAAGAAATACTTTTAGGAAGCAAGACAAGTAAGATAAGTTAAGAAATGTATATGATCACGGTGTTAATAATTATTTCAAATACCTCATCAAATCTCATCTATCGCACTTTATGCCAAATCATACATGATCCATATTAGAAAAGATTTTCTTGAACATGATAGAGGTCAGTATGATGTTCTTCTATAAGATATCGGCACGAACTTAATTGGATCACCATCTCACCGGTATCCATATGAATCATGAACACTAGATTTCGGTTCTTTCCTTTGTTTTCTAATAAAGAAAAGGTCTCCATATATATATAGTGATACTGAATTGACTCATTTTATTGTCCATTATTTTTCATTTGAAGTTTATCTGAGAATAATATATTTACTGAGAAAATACTTTAATCATCGTAGAGATAATGAATTTTTTTCTGTGGAATATAATATTTTGATAAAATATATTTAATAGGATTAATTAGAATATATTGAAAATATAAATCGTAGTTTCCAAATAATTGCAGTATATATAAAATAATAATTAATTTAAGATAGTCATGTCATTTGATATAATGAAATCACGTCGAAAATTACCCGCTCCAATGCATGATCGATCATCTTACTCCATATTTTCTGTGATTAGACAAGCAATAGGAAAAGATCTGACTCGATTTTCTATACCTGTTATTTGGAGTGGTATACAATCATTTTTTAAATGTATTTTACGAATATATTTGTTTTTGTATAGAACCTCTTAGTTTTCTTCAACGTTTGGCAGAATGTTTAGAATATTCTTCATTACTTGATAGAGCTTCATTGGCGAATACATCAATCGAACGACTCCATTTAATAACAGCATTTGTTGTATCAACTCTTTCAAGTCATTTAGAACGATTGTCAAAACCATTTAATCCCCTACTTGGTGAAACATATGAATTAAAAAGTGAAGGTACTACACCATTTCATTTTATTGCTGAACAAGTTAGTCATCATCCACCTATATCTGCATTGTATGTTCGTGGACAAAATTGGACTTTAACTGCAAATGTTGAACCGAAAGTAAAATTCCAAGGAACAAATGTAGTAGCTATAGCGCAAGGTTAGTAAATATTACACGCAATTAATATTGATGATAAGATTACTAAACTACGAAATAAATATAATCGTAATTCGCTGAGAATTTTACTTTTATCTAATTTCTATATATTTTAGGGCGATCTATACTACGAATTTACAAAAAATCTACATTGTCGCAATCAAGTTCTCAGTTATGTACCGACGAGAATGGTGAAGTAGAAGAATATACATGGACAACACCATCTGTTGTTATTCACAATATTTTATTTGGTCGTCTTTGGTGTGAATTTCAAGGAGAAATTGATTTAAAACATGTACAATCCAATCAACATGCTGTTCTTACTATTAAATCACACTCGTGGTTTGCTTCGCAATCAACAAAAACAACTGATATGTTCAAATATAATGGATATATCTATGATGGTATTTTTCTTTCATTTTTTCTAGCATATAATTGAAGAATGTGTGTGTGTACAGATTAATATTCATTCAGTTACAATGTATTGATCATTTCCTCAAATTCATAGTAACTATTTCGAAAATATTTGACTTCGCAACGATATTTTTATTTGAAGAGAAATTATTGAATCATATTAATAATATACCGTTGCGTTTATATTTAGGAAATGATAAGATCAGTGCATTTCATGGTAATTATGGTCATTGTTATTATGCTATCGATGATTTAAAAGATGTAGAAATAAAAACTTCATCTTGTTGTTCTGCTCATGGTAATAATTGTCTTCATCTTAGTTCAGATCCAATATTATCACCATCATGTAATCTTATACTTACTCCATCATCTCGTCTCATTTGGCACCGATCTTTTCCATCGATGACAGATAAAGAACTAGCATTAAGGCATCAATATTACTTTTTTACACCATTTACAATGTGTCTCAATGAACACATCTTGTTATCTCATTTACCACCAACTGATTGTCGATTTCGTAAAGATATTCGATATCTTGAACAAGGTGATTTAGAAACTGCTTCAATTGAAAAACATCGCCTCGAAGAACAACAACGAGCTGATGCAAAAAAACGTGAAAACGGATATGAACCATTATGGTTTAAGAAAGATGACCAAGGTGAATACATATATACCGGTGAATATCAACGAAGAAACTTTGATCATTGCCCAAATCTTTTCTCTTAATTGTCTTCTCATTAATAATTGCTTTTTATAGATTCAGTTACTTCTATTTCGCTGCTGTACGAGAGTGTTATTTATTATTATTTTAGCAAAATTTATTCTTTGATTTATTAGGATCTTTTTAAAATAAATAAAAGAGAAAATATATTTTTCTTAGTCATCAAAATGAATGTCATGTAATATCTATATTCACAAAGATCTTTTTTATATGACCATACGACATTTCTTTTATCTAAATAATGTATAAGTCGCAAATATCAATATCAGATAAGTGTGCAAATCAAATAAAAACATGTATCTATAAATTTCTTGAAAAATGGAAGATAGCGAAAGCATATGAAAATATATTGATTTTAGATGATAACTATGAATGAGACGAATTGTCATGAAGTATACATTTAGAATAGAAATTAAGTATTTTTATTACTTGTTTTTAATTATTTTCCTTAATCAACGTATCAGTTTTTTTAGAATCACTGTGAAATTAATATTTTTTCTTTTATGATTGTATATGTTCTACGTTCGATCTTTTCGTATTAATATAAAGTTGCATGAAATGATATGTTCTCGATAAAGGTACTCCTCTTAAATATTTTTGTGTGCAATTAAATATTAGATAAATTCAAGTCAACACTGATTATGAGAATAATTAAGATTTATAACAATAAATAAATATATAATACGCAAGGCCTCTCGAATTTCTGTTCAAGTGATGTGTGAAGAGAATTTTTGTAAATGCTATAATAAAACGATATTAATCCATGTTATTAATATAGAAGATTATTGTAAGTGATGATACTAATGCAGAAGATATAATAAATGATAATATTAATGCAGAAGAATAGTTATTAATCTTGTGATTTTAACACGATAAATTTACAAAAAACTCAAGGAGGGTGGGTATGGTTGTCCCCAAGATATTGCTATAATATTGTCACATCCACATCCACACCCTCAAATAACAGCATATGTTAGAAGATTATTAATATGGTTCTTTATTATTTTGAAGAAAAAAAGATTATACTAAGAAATACAATAAACATATATATACAAGGTAAAATACAGTACATATTATTAAATTCAGTTTATGGATATCCATTAGTAAGAAATCCGGTATCATGCCAAAATTTAAGATATTTATGAATTAAATCCACATTAATCGTTGGACATGAATGTAAATATTTTGATCGTGCTTCAGTTTTAACTGTTTCATATTCTGATATTTGAAATCCTGTTTTTGATGTAAAAAATGTATCAAAAAATGATGAAAGTTTAACTAAAGCTGTTTCAGATTTTAACACCATGTCAAGCCATTCAGCTGGATTAACTATTCGAAAATGAAGACCAGCTTTTTTAAGATAATCAAGAAAAGTTGACCATGTTATTGAATGAGGATTAAGTACATGATGTACATCATCAGATTTTACATAATCCTGTAATGCTATATCAACAACTGATAATGCAGCAATATCAACTGGAATCCATCGTACATCTTGACCTTGACTTGGCATTTGACCAAGTTGACCACCACCAATACAGATGATTAATGAAACCATTTCCGATGTATTCCATGCACCATTTATACTATCACCTGATACTTGACCAATACGATAAATATCAACTGGTAAATCTTCAATGAATAATAATTTTACAAATAAAAAGAATATTTAACAAAAAAAGAAAACTTACTCCATAATTGTTTAGCTGCAGCACCAAGATGTTCACAAACATATTTACTTTGACCATAACCTTGTGCTATTGGAAGTTGTGGTCGTCGAATAAGAGGTTCCTCTTTAACAATAGGTATAATACCTGAACCTGACGAAGCTACACTTGAGATAAAATGAAAACGAGCATTTGCTTTGCGTGCTAGTTTTAATAGATTAAATGTGCCAAGAATACCATCTTTTTCAAAATCACGAACAGTCATATTAAACTAAAAATAAATAATAATAACAATACTTTTCTTCTAAATTTCACTCTACTTACATCCATACGATATGCTGAATGAACAATATCAGTAACTTCATTACATAATTGATTATATAAATCATAATCTTGTCCTAAGAATCCTTCGGATAATGACATATTATCAAGAAGAACAACACGTTTATTATTTTCTTTGAATATATCAGTTGTTTGATAACGTTGTTCATATTCTTTTATAATCCGACTTTTATCTTGACCACGGAAGAAACAGTAGACTTTTGATACTGAATCATGTTTTAATAAATCAAGAACAATCCATGAACCAAGTGAACCATTCGCTCCAGTAATCAAAAAAATTCGTTCTTTATTATTTTTTTTAATCGGATTTATTGGTGATGAATCATTTTTCATTAAATTAATATATCTATCAATTAAATTTTCCGTAAGAACATAATGTTTAGGATCATTATTAATCGATTTTGTATTTATTTTATTATTTCTTAAAATTAATTCATCAACCATTGAATCAATTGTTGAATATTCATATATAAAATTTAATGGAATTGAAGGAAATATCGAAGTTAATTCATTACGTAATTGAACAGCATGAAGAGAGTCAAATCCAACATCAAATATAGATCTTGATGTATCAAAATCCTCATCAGAATATTTTATATTTAATTTAGTTAGTAATTCAAGAATATAATTTTTAAGTGAAGTTTGATTCCATTCTTGTTTATTATTTCCTTTTGATAATTCTGTATTTTGTTGATCTGGTTTAAGAAATTTTTCATATAGTTTATCAATTACATCAGCATAATCATTATAAATTCGTTTACGCATTATCTAAATATATTTGATTGAAAGAATTTAGTTTTAATTTAAAACTATCAACTTACATTTCCTTTATCAGTAATAGATAAAGTTTTACTCATAGGTAAACATTTAATCATTTGACGAACTATTCTTGAATGATTTGGTGCTGTTTTATTAGCTGTTTGAACTGCTTCCCAAACAAGATCCGAGATTTCATCATTGGAATAATTTTCAGCTTCTTCTCGATTTAATTCAATCAAGACACCAGTACATAAACGTTTATGACCAAAAACAGCAGCTCGTTTTACAAGAGGAGAAGCACATATATTGTGTTCCATAGGTAGAGCATTGGTTTTTTCACCATTTACATGAATTAATGTATCATCTTGACGACCTTCTATTCGATATTCACCAGATCCAGGTGGATCTTCAATGAATACATCATTTGTTGAATAAGAACCATCAGGTTGATTAGCAATACCTGGTTGACAGAATGGATCATTAGGCAAATGTACCAACTAAAAACATTCTCTTTTATTTAATTAAGAATCCTAAATAAATTACTTACAACATGATCATCTGGTCTAATCATAACAAAAGGCTTTCGACATGCAGCAATTTTCATAAAATTATATCGTGTTATTGGTGAATTCAAATTATTCATCATCACCATACCCTAAATAAATTATATTAATATTATTACAAATCAAATATTCATATCGATTTACAGTTTCTGTTGCTCCATAATTAGAAGTAATACGAATTCCATTTTCAACAAATTTACGCGCGATATGGTCTGATAAACTTGCACCACCGTAAAAAATATGTTTCATTCGTTTTAATGGTTCATATGTAGCTGATTTATCAGATTCTAATTCATTTATAAGTTGTTCAAGAAAAACTGGTACAGAATAAATTTTATTGATTTGTTCGACTTGAATATTGGCCACAAGTTGTTTAGGAGTTGGTGGATAGATTTTTGATAGAGCAAGTGCATAGGTTGCTCCAGACATCAAACAACCTACAGCTGTACATAATCCTGCTACATGGAATCTAAATATTAATATTAAACTATTGATAGTTTAGTAGTTTGATAGATGACTAGATACTTACAGCGCACCTAATGTAAGAACGACGTCACCTTCGTCCCGAAAGCCTTTATTGGCACTTGCTTGAACCTGATGAATGTAAAAAAGACCTCGATTTGTAAGACGAATTGGTTTTGGAAATGCTGTTGAACCCGAACTATAAATCGAAATTACCTTGTAGCACATCAGATAAAACAGAATTTTACTTACCTGTGCAAGATTAGTTGAATATTTTCAAGTGAATCTTTTTCTGTTCTATTGATTGGTTGTGAAGAATTATAATTCTTATTCCAATCAACATTTTCTAATGGAATTAACTTCAATCCATCAAGTTCAATTTGAATTTGTCCTGATTCAATTACTAAATAGGATGCTCCGGTTGTTTTTATAAGATGTTCTAATGCTGCTTTGGAATTACGAATTGATAATGGAAAAACGACAACACCTAATTTAACTAAGCCATAGAATGTTAGAAGATGATTAACTGAAGTATTGGCTAATAAACAAACAACAATTGATTTTTGTGAATTAGATGAAAGATCAATTTGTTTAGCATATTTATCAGCTAAATAATTTGCAATTCCATTAACTTGAGCAAATGTAGCCGACGCATAACGAAGTGGATCTGACGTAAGATCAGGATATAAAAGATGAGTTTTATCTGGGCGATTTTGAGCTTGATATTCAAGAAGTTCAGGAACTGATTTGTATGAAATATGAGCAAGTATATCGTTCTAAATAGATACCAAATAAAAAAGAAGTAAGATAATGTTAAGTAAATTTCTGTTGTTATTATTTCACTCAATAAAAATGTATTATAAATTTTACCTGCATATTTTTTGTTTTATGTTTTTCAGTAGTGTGAATTGAATGAACGAAGGAACTGATATTCTAGCATGTTAACCAGGCTTTATATAGAGTAGAACGAAGGTCACAAAGAAAGAAAGAATAGCCACTTAACATTCGTAGTCAGAAGAAAGAGAGAGAGAGATATCATTTCTTCTGTTATATATAGTACGTTTAGTTCGAAAGGGTCATCGCAGACATTCACTGTTGATTAAATAGGTACTCGTACTTTTAGTTCGAAAGGGTCATCGCAAATATTCATTATCAGCTAAATAGATACTCGTACTTTTATCGTTTTGACCGATAATTTTCTTTGATATATCTTTTAAATGCAATATTTCAGCGTGATTATCGATTGTTCAAATATTATCTTAAACTGTTAAGAAAAAAAATATATATTGAAATCATGTGAATATAATTGTTAATGATGCGATATAATACTTTGTTGATTAATATTTTATTAATAATTCGATCGTCTGAATTTTTGAAATGATTCTCTAAATGTTTTCATATATAATTTTGAAGGAAAAACAAAAACAATAAAAATAAGCATTGATAGATTAAATGAAATAAAATAACCAGAAAGATATAACCATGGATTATTGGAAACATCGACACATCCAGATATTAATGAAATAATTAATCGAGGCATTGAAAGTATAAGTAAAATCAGAGGACTAATTATTAATTGTTTATGTTCAATAAATTGTTCAAGTATATGTCTTATATAAGTTCGTTTAGTTCGAGTTATTGATTTTTGTCTCGCTGTACCAAAAACAATATAAAAAGCTGAAATAAAATTAGCAATAAATGGAGTAACAAGATGAAAAAATAGAATAGCTGTATTATAATCTTGAAGAGAACTAGAATAATTAATAACACATAAAATACGATATTCCATTTCATATTTATCTGTATTAGTCAAAAGTAGTTTTTACAGCTGAAAAGAACTTGATATATCATTAGTTTTGACTGTATAAAGGACAGAAACATACATGACAAATGGTAGGACATTTTTTGTTAGTCATATGACAAAATTATATGACTAGTTTAGAACTTACGAGATAAATTATAGTTTCCATTAAGAGTTTTTTTATCAGATATTATGTATCGTATATTCGAAAATAAATGTCTATAACTTTTGTGATTAGAAATAGAAGGAAACTAAGATCATCAAATAATGAGAAATAGGATGAATCAATTGTGTACTTTCTTACTAAAGTCATGAATAATCATTTCGGTACTTTTTGCCACGTAACCACAACAGAAAACGAATATTTGATCGATAAAAATAACATATTTAATTCGTGATTTATTTCTCATAAATCTATGTCTTCTACTTAAGATTTTCTTGGTTGTGTTTTTTCTCTTATAAAAGATATGAAAGGTAGGAGATCAATTTTCATCCGATAAGGAATGTGGTTTCTGTTATGTAACTTGTAAATGATTTGAAAACATATTAGATTTAACTGATAAGAAAAATATCGTTTTTATTGTCATCTTGACTATGTTTTTAATAAAAATAAATTTGTCGTGATTTTTTTAGCATAACTGTTGTTGCTTGTTTCATAAATAATGCTCTATTATCTTTAAAAACTTGACAAAAATCATTTGCCTTTGAATAACATTTTGCTAAAGTTGAAAAATATTTCGATTCAAATGCATTACAATTGATAGATTTTCGTTGATTATATATTCGAGCTAGAAAATCTTGTGTACAATTTTGTACATTGACCATCATTTGTCTTCCCTTATATATATAAATAAAGCCAAAAATATAATGAGAAAAAAAAATAGAATATTTTACTTGTGGTGTAAATTGTAAAACAATATCTTTAGGAAATTGTTGACATAATTCCTGTGCCCATGCTGTTACACTTTCATCATTACAACGATAACGTTCATGAAAACATTTAATAAAATCACAACCTGTTTCTAAAGTTTTGGATTTTTCAGAACAAGCTTTGGTTTCTAAAAATAAAAAAAATTAATTTACTTATTGTCAATAAAGAAATAGATACCTGTTTTGCTCATTTTTGAACCATGAATAATCATGATAAAAGAACATATTAACCCTTTCGGGACCAACTTTTTTTTTATCTTTTTAATGATCGGTGAATCATTTTATAACTATCTATCTTAGTGGCAACCTCAGAAAAAAAAAATTTTTTTTTTGAAAAAGCTGAGGTCTCTCCCAGGGATGGTGGTATATATTTGTACCACCTATCCTGTGGGTTTTTCAAAAAAAACTTTTTTTTTCCTGAGGTTAGATAGTTATAGAAATGATAGACCGATCATTAAAAAGATGAAAAAAAAGTTGGTCCCGAAAGGGTTAAGACAATACAACAAAACATTTTCACTATCATGAATAGCAAAAATATACAAATGAATACATTTCTTTATATATGTGTTCTTTTTTCAATGTATGATTTTGAATTACAATTGATAAAAAATCTCGAGTTATCTCTATGTTATATAAGTTATTATATCATTAAAAAAGCAACCTTCGTAAAAAGCAAAGAAATCACATAAGTTCATTGAGTATTATCAATTTCGATAGAGTTGTATTAACCTTGTTTACCATATTAATATACAATGAATTTTGATTCATCTAGAAAATATCACTCATTTGTTATTATATGATATCAAAATTCATGTCTTTGTTTAGTAAACGAATATTCGACAAAATTTTTATCTACTATTAATTTTCTATTTTAATAGTTAATATTCGCGTTATTCAATTTAACTGAATATATTTCTTTTTTCTACCGACAAAAATGTGATGTATGACCTAGATTATTATCATTCGTATTTGTGATATATGATCTAGTTATTATCGTTCGCTTTATTTAGTCTTTCTTTCTTTTCTATCGAGGTCGTTAATATACATTTCATATATATGTTTCTTTGTTATTGTCAAGGGATATTCTATACTAGAATATTCCTTAATATACGTGTATTGCATCATATATATAAACGTGTATGAAGTAGTTTATTTTGATAAATAAATATCATTTAACACTCGACTTCAGGACGTAACAAAAAATATAAAAATAGTTTCTTTAATTATATTATTTTCTTAACAGTTATATATTCTAGTTTTTTTACATTTATTACTGTTATATTTCAACATCATCAATACACTAAAATAATATCATAATTCAATATAATTAACGATGACTGTATTTTTATTCTCTTTATTTATCATTTTATGATAATTTACATGTATTCTCAATACTATATTCTATTGAAAAATGAAGAAATTATCTCCAAATTGTTTAACGAAAAGAATGGAAAATCATCACTATTCTTCGATAATTAAATTATTAACGATTCATATCATGTGGAGAAAAAAAATATCTTGTTTTTTGTAATTTGTGTTTATGAGACACAAAAAAAAGTTAAAATTCGATGAATTATCACAATCTAATATATTATTAAGGTTGATAAAATACAATACACATTTTTAACTCAAGACCAAATAAAAAAACAAGATATTTACGCATCATTGAAACGTTTCAAAGGGACTAGTCATCATCCTGAAAATTGTCATTATCAAAAAATACGCTATTACAATCTAATTACCGATTTATTTTGACAGCAAAAAAATAGGTTACCTATCATATACGAATCAAATAACAACATAGACGCACTTCGTAAACAAAAAAATACCATAAAAATATATTATGAATATAAAAACTGTTTTTAATTCTTTTGTTGACACTATATTTCATCACATTAATTACAAAATACTATATAAATTTCAACTAGCTTTTAAACACATTTATCACATAACAATAAAAATAATTTCAAGTTCATGGTTACATATATATATAAATATCGAGAAGTATACTTTATCTAAATATTATAATCAGAAGAGTATTTATGATAGAAAATCAGAATTTATGGTTAAGGTTTTGTTATTAGAAACGATATTCTCTATTAGAGTATAATATAAATATCATAATAGATCTCAAAAGATGTTTGTCGACTTATAATTCTAGCTATGATAAATTTCTTACTATAATCATATAAGCAAAATAATCTATTAGTAAATAAATGAAATGATTCGTAAGTACCATTGAGTTTTATATCAAAATAAAATTGTTATTTATTAGCTAGTAGAATTACCTTCTGTATTCTTCTTTCGCTTTATAGTGCACTATCAATCTTTTCATGTTTTTTTTATTGTACAAAATTTTTAACTGTACTTCTGAATAATCAATACAGAAGTCATTTCGATAACGCATAATACGCTTCCATGTTGAAAATAAATTATATCTCACATAAAGTTAAAAATTACAACAAGAAAAACAAATATTATCTTCTCTTCAGATAAGATTTGAATACTAAACTATTTACGATAATAATTAATCATATAATAATACTATAGTGATATATACATACTATTTCAAGGTGATATTTACACAATTTTTCGATATAATAGCAACAACAAAAAAATATAGTTCGTCTATAATTTATTTAAACTAAAAAACGAATATTTGAAAAAGATCATTATCTATTGAGAAAATGTAATTTAAATAGAATACCTTGCAATTTTTTTTTATATAGATCAAAAAATGATTGCTTTTAATATATAATATATTAATACAAAATAAAAGTAAATAATTTTTAAAAGACAATTTTTCGTTTTTAAAAAATAACCTATTTATTTTGAATTGCTTTTATATACTAAGTTTCATTACAATATAAATATATTCAGTATTGATTAATGTTAAAATAAAATATTATTATCAATACATTCAATTTTGTTCTGTTCTCTTTCTTTCTCTACCAAACGTATAATATCCGCTTGTCACTATATATCATCAAAAGAAAAGGTGAAGCACATGCTTGAGTGATCACAACGGCTAAATGCGTTTTTTTTATGTGCGATTTCGATCAATCAAAAAAACTATTAAATTGAAGGCTATACTGCAAGGACAAAATACAGTCGACATATTTTATTTCTCAACTGTTTCGCTCGAGGAGACACATGTATATGTACAAATGTCCTTATCGAATAAAAATTGTATTACTATATGTTTTAACTGTTGAAGACAATTTTTATCCTAGATAACTGATACGATGAGTCATATACGACACACTACTAAAAAACTATATGAAATTATTTTGAACGGTTTTAAAATAAACTATCGATATGTTCATCTAATTAATACACGGATGTATTTATAAACCGCTGGAAGTTAAAGGGATAATATTTTAAAACAAAATTTCTACCTAGCTAAATGATTTATTAAAATATTTGAAAATGATAAAATAATAAAAAGATGCTGAGCGAAAAAAAGCACTATGAGAACTAATTAGAATATGAAAACTGTCTATGCCAGAAACGCAATATTTGTTTTGTTGACTTCCATTATTGGACGGAACGTTTCCTACAAAAATAAAAATAAAAATGTATAGTTCAAAATTATAAACTCTCTAAAATGATATTTCGATAAAAAAAACGACTATATATGAAATATAATATTAGAATTACTCTCAAGTCATTATTATATAAAGATGATCTTATTAAACTTACTTCTTGTCAAGTTTTTATTCATATATATGATCTTACTTATGATTATAGTCGTATACAATACCAACAAGCAATAATCATCTACTAATGAACAAGCCTAATCAAATCTACTACATATTCAAATATTAGATTGTACAAACTGCAATACTCCTCCAATTCAATACTGCTATGCATTATATGATCTACAAATGAATCATATGACGATCACATATTCAAAAATTAAACGCTATACAATATCAGCTTCTTATACACTTACAAAACGAATATTGAATCACATATGAATAAATAGCTCTGTTATACAACGTTAGTCAAATACTAAGTTCTGTCATCTATAATATAAAAGTCATTCTACGAAATCTATCCTTTGATAACAAACGAATACCAACGGTTACAACTCTGTTCTACTATTTTACATAGATAAACAGGTAATTTTTCGAATTCTAAAAAATCGGAAACAGACTGCTTGATGAATAAACTTTATGATAATTTTATTCAAATATTTATTTGATGAAATATCACATTTATGTCCCATTAGTGTGTTCAGAATCAAACAAACAACGAATATGCTGTACGATAATTGTATTCAGATATTTACTTGAAGACATGTCAGATGTATGTCACATTAGTGTATTCAGAATCAAACAAACAACGAATATGTCATACGATAATTATGTTCAATTATATTGATCGATGAAAGATTCACTTCTAACAGTAGACAAGCTCTGTCATCATGTGATGAATGAATCTGTTATAGAAATGTTTTGTACAAATACCTTACTCATTCTGATTTAGACTTGTATGACGGTTAACGATGTAAGAACAAGTCACTGTTGTACACATCATACCGTAATTGGATTATTCCATTATTTTATTCATTGGAATATCAAATTCCACAATCTACACACGGCCTAATATCACAAAACCCATGAATAAATCAGATAATCGTTGTGTTCACTTATATTTCGTTATCAATCATTCGATCCTACCATTTCATATGATTTGTCGTCTTGTGATCAATGAATGAGTTGTAGGAAAAGTTTATACAAATATTTCACTCATGCTCATATTAGGTTTTATTTCGATGAAAAACATAAGATGTAGTAACACATGAATAAATTCTACTATGACTGTTGTCACTTATTTTTATCAACAAAACATAAACATTCACACTCTAAACACGGTTTAATGTGACAATACCAATGAATAAATCCCACCATAACTGTGTTCACTTATATTTCGTAAACAACCATTCGTTTCAACCATTTCAAATCCTTAACCGCCTTCTGTTGAATGAACTGCTTATAAATCCAGAGCCCATACCTGAATTGCATTAGTCAGTTATCTTCTGCAATACAATGCGAAATTTCAGACTCTAAACAGAGTTCGATATCACAACACCGATGAATAAATCCTACCACATATATGTTCACTTATATATCTTGATAGATGATTCACTTCTAAGATTAGAAAACATTTAACGCCTTGTGATGAATGAATTAGTTATAGAAATGTTTTGTGCAAATATCTTACTCATTCTCATGTAGACTTTTATGAGGGCTAACGATGTAAGAACAAGTCACCTTTGAACACATCATACCGTAATTGGTTTATTCGATTATTTTCTTCATTGAAATACCAAATTCTACACTCTACACATGGCTTACTGTGACAATATCAATGAATAAAACAGATAATCGTTGTGTTCACTTATATTTCGTAGTCAATCATTCGTTTCTACCATCTAATATGATTTGTCGTTTTGTAATACATGAATTCATCACAGAACCTGAATTGTACTATTCTATTATCTTCATTAGTATAATTTCCAACTGAAGACACTGAATATACTTTAATATCATATCACAACTGAATAAACTCGACCATCATTCTATTCAACTATGTTTCTTCACGAGTCATTCGCTCCCAACATTCGATAAGATTTGTCGTCTTGTGGTGAATGAATTAGTTATAGAAATATTTTGTACAAATATCTTAGTCATTCTTATGTAGACTTTTATCAGGGTTAACGATGTGAGAACAAGTCACTGTTGAACACATCTTACCGTAATTGGATTATTCCATTATTTTATTCATTGGAATATCAAACTCCACAATCTACACATGGCTTAATGTCACAACACTAGCGAATCAATCCTACTACAACTATGTTCACTTATGTCTCGTAATCAATCATTCGTTTCTACCGTTTCATATCATTTGTCGTCTTGTGATCCATGAATCAGTTGTAGGAAAAGTTTATACAAATATTTCACTCATGCTCATATCCAGTTTTATTTCGGTGAAAAACATATGGGGTAGTAACAGGCGAATAAATTCTATCATCACTATTGTCACTTATCTTTTTCCATAAAACATAAACCTTCACACTCTAAACACGGTTTAATGTGACAATACCAATGAATAAATCAGATAATCGTTGTGTTCACTTATATTTCGAAATCAATCATTCGTTTCTAACATTTCATATCATTAACCATCTTCTGATGAATGAACTGGTTATAGATCCAGAGCCACTACCAGAATTGCATAAGTCTATTATCTTCCTTAAATACAATCTGAAATTTGAAACTCTAAACACAGTTTGATATCACAACACCGATGAATAAATCCTACCATATATATGTTCACTTATATATCTTGATAGATGATTCACTTCTAAGATTAGAAAATATTGAACGCCTTGTGATGAATGAATTAGTTATATAAATGTTTTGTACAAATATCTTAGTCATTCTCATGTAGACTTTTATGAGGGTTAATAATGTAAGAACAAGTCACTGTTGAACATATCATAGCCCAATTGGAGTGTTCCATTATGTCTTTCATCGAAATATCCAATTCCACGCTCTATAAACAAGGCTTAATGTCACAGCACCAATGAATAAATCAGATCGTTGTGTTCACTTATGTCTCGTAATCAATCATTCGTTTCTACTGTTTTATATCATTTGTCGTCTTGTGATCAATGAATGACTTGTAGGAAAAGTTTATACAAATATCTTACTCATTCTGATATAGACTTTCATGATGGTTAACGATGTAAGAACAAGTCACTGTGGAACACATCATATCCCAATTGGAGTATTCCATTATCTTTTTCGTTGAAATATCAAATTCCACACTCTAAACACGGTTTAATGTGACAACACCAATGAATAAATCAGATCGTTCTGTTCACTTATATTTCGTACTCAATCACTCGTTTCTGCCATTTCACATCGTTACCCGCCTTCTGATGAATGAACTGGTTATAGATCCAGAGCCACTACCGGAATTGAATTAGTCTATTATCTTCCTTAAATACAATCTGAAATTTGAAACTCTAAACACAGTTTAATATCACAATATCCGTGAATAAATTCTACCCATAGTGTACTGTTCAATTATCTACTTCAATATTTTATTCAATTGAAAACACTAAATATGGTCAAATATCGCAACAGCAATGAATAAATCCTACCACCACGATCATATATTCAAATATTACACACTGTGCGATGTAAGATTTCTACACATTTTATGAAAAAATTATCAAGTCAAACATGAACCAGTAGCTTTCTTATACAGTGTTCAAATACCAGGCTCTGTTATTTATAGCGTAAGAATTATTGTCCATAATCTGTCGTTGCGTAAAAAATGAATAGTACGTGCTAGAATTCTATTCAAATATTGTGCTCATTCTGATATCAACATCTATGTAGGCAAACGAAATATGATCAATTGGTATATAAATACATCATACCATAATTATATTATTCTATTATATTATTCAAGAAAGTATCAAGTTTCAAACTACGAACATGGTTTGATTTCACAACAGCAATGAACAGATTCTACCATAACTGTGTTCATATATATTTCGTAATCAATCATTTGTTTCTAACGTTTCATATCGCCTATCGCCTTCTGATCAATGAATTAGTTATAGATCCATAACCACCATAATTCTGTTCAACTATATTTGGTGATGAGTCATTCATTTCTAATATTTCATATCACCTGTCACCTTCTGATTAATGAATTAGTTATAGATCCATAACCACCATAATTCTGTTCAACTATATTTGGTGATCAGTCATTTGTTTCTAACGTTTCATATCACCTGTCGCCTTCTGATGAATGAATTAGTTATAGATCCATAACCATAATGGTTATCACTTATCTTATTGTAAGGAAATGTTAAAGTTAAGACTCTAACTATACTTCTAATATCACAACAGCAATGGATACTTCAGAGAATAACTGTCTTCACTTATCATATTCAATACAGTTTCAAATTTGACACTCTAGATACAGTTTAATATCACAAGAACAATGAATAAATCATATAATCATTATAGTATTCCTTTATCTTGTTCAATATAGTGTCAAATTTTGAGATTCTAAACTTAATCTAATATCACAACATAAATGAATAAATTGTATTATAATTCTGTTCGATTATATTTCTCCATGAATCGTTTGCTGCTAACATTTGATAATATTTATTGTCTTGTGATGAATGAATTAGTTATAGAAAGAATTTATACGAATATTTTCCGAATTC